AGGGCCCTTTTCGCCTTTATCCCTTGGTCCGACTGGAACCATTCTATTCTTTGGTACCGGAACATTGCTATTAGGGATATTATTGTGAAAGTAAGGCATCACCTTTTTGGTATCGTATTTGGTGTCCGGAGAAGGCGCGTCAGTTATAATTTGTCAAGATGAACCATAAACTATGATAAATGGGGAAGCGTCTCATAGGTGACGTTAAAACACTCTTGCCTACGGTTCATATTTTTACGCTTTAACGTATATTGAGGGAAAGAGGCATGAACATTTGAATAACCTATTAACAATAAAAAAATTAGAGCAGTATGCAGGTGGTTTGCAAGAGTTCTAATGGGATTAAATGATATGTAGTGCGAGAGCTTCAAGAGTTGAGCTAAACATCTTATGGATATGGATTATTTTCGAACCTAAGTTTTTTTACGCATTTCAGCGATGATTAAATTACGATATCTTTAGGGAGGACATTCTGGTTGGTGACCACTCCAAGAGAGAAAGAGAACTCGCTCAAATCTAGACGAGCCTGCTGAACCTGAAGTTTAAATGGGTGAACTCGGAGATTGGTAGAGTCAGCATATTCAGAAATCCTCAAAGGCCTGGCAATAATGCAATTCTCTCCCAACGCGGAATACTTACAGGAGATCCCAGGAAATTTTTCTAAAACACAATGGAAATGGACTTAGCTTTCCTGAGCGGGGTGCATTGTGGTAAACTATCTTTTCGAAATTCTCATCTTTTCTAAACATCGTGTTTCTCAATCTTTTCTCCTGTTTTTTTTAATCCCTGAGACATTGAACTTCCTTTTTGCACCGAATTTTCTCCAAAATGTATGCTCTTATGTAATTATTTTTTTAAGGCTGACAATAAGCCGTCAGTGTAGCATGTTCCTGTGGATACTTGTTAGCTGGTAATTGATGTTAATGTGTAGGAGAAGGAAACACATAGGAACACCCAGTCTTCGCTTACATTAGCCGTAAACAAGGAGACCTTGTCGAGCTCATAAAAGCTTATCGCATCTGGTCAAAATGACCTCTTCAAAGGTTTCGAATACTTTCGTTTCAACGCTATGCAAACATAGAACAACGTAAGGTCCCGCATAAGTACAACATGATCACATCAACCGAGCGGTGGCATGGTGATGCTCATGTGGATACTGTCTGATGTCTTCGTAAGAACCAAGTCGGGACACTTAGTCCTTTGTCATTTACGTATTCCGGTTGCAAACAGAACACGTTGTGTGAGTAAAAACCTCAATGTTTTGGATAAGAAACAATAGTCGAGACACAATTTTGGCTCGAAGATTTAGCAGGGCTCCAGCTAGTAATAATAATAAGTTGTATATTTCAGGCCCACTGGGACTCATCAATAATGGTGTATTTAAGTCGCCAATAAGTAGGACATTAAGCTAACTGAATAATTTTTGTGATTTGTCCCAAATTTGGGTGTCGGCGATTCGGTTCGTCCTAGGCGGCCGATATACCGTGAGGACATTAAAACTCGGAGAAACATTCAAGCATATGGAATACGTACTGCATGAAAATGTTGTTCGCTTGTCTGAAGCTATAAAGCTTTTCCATACACAATTATTCTCAACCCTTTCCATTTTCCCGGTCTCTTCGATATACATATTTCCTCTACAAAAAATGCTACAAGACAATCTTAAACCTGACCGCTCAGCCATTCTTCTGTCACTGCTAACACATTTAGAGACAGAATTTCAATTCACCAAATTTGGATACAGTGATAGCCCGCAATTAACAGCCCTGTGCTTATTTATACTGTCTTCGCTCGCCAAACCCTGCAATCAAGCGCAACCATATACTCCAGGCGCTAATGTCCTTTCTCAAGCTCTTGATTGACTCGCCGCTTGATACGCGCGTAAGCTCGAACCCAGTCGATACGCCTCGCTTCAGAACCTGTGTACAACACCGCCGATAAAAGCTCCCCGTGTCTCTTCATACCTGTGGATTCTTGTTCATCAGCCGCCTATGCTAAGTCAGCCCTCTCAATGTAACTCTGGTCGACCACCTGCGATTATTAAAAGTACGTTCGTGAGTGCATCTGTTTTCTTTCGTTGTTAGTGTGTGCATCCCGTAACTAGTCGATGAGCGCCCATTCACCATTGGGTCCGTATATTAGGCAAAATATTAGTCTTCCACATTAGCTGCGTCTGCACACGTAGCGTTTTTTATGCAGTCAGGCGGGCGGAATTTTCGTCGTTTTGGCAAACTAAGCCCGCATATCCAAGTGTTTAAACTGGGTTCAAGCATGTACGTGGTTTCTCACAATAGGTCTCCAAAATAGCCAGGCAAACGACCTTACATTGACACGTTTAAAAAGTCAAATTATTCAAGAAACATCGAATGCACTTATATTAATATTTATTATCAGTTTTGCATTAAAATTTCTACCATAAATACACCCAATACTCGTTATAAATGATACTGTAGAGACAGACATGTAACGACCGGAACACCATCAGAACAAAACTAAGCTAAGCTGGAAGGAAATCCTGGGCTGAAAGAAAAGTAGATTTCAAAAAGGTTGGAAAATGATCCTTTTGTAAAATTTTCCGATGCACATGCTTCCGTATTACGTGCAGTGTAATGTTTGGCTGCTACCGAATAGCCAAAATTTCGAGTATGCATGCCAAGCTTACTATTACCGCTTTTAGTCACGGATGCTCCAATACTGCTTTGTTCTTTGCAGGAACTTCTTTACGAAATCCCCGCCTGTTTAAATTATCACGTTTCTCAATCTGTTCTCCTGTTTTCTGTAATCCCTGAGACATCGGGCTTCTTTATTCGCACCAGATTTTCCCACAATTTATGCTTGCTTGTCATTTCCTTTTTAAGGCTGACAGTGAGCCATCAAAGAAGCTTGTTCCTGTGGATACTATTATAGTGTATATTTAAAGGATAACAGGCTAGGAATGCCCTTATGGACCCAATTTATGTAAAATGCAAGATGTTTTAGCATGATATGTTCAAAAGACTTTGGGGAAACAGTCCATCGAAGACGAGGAAGACGCGTTTGACGAGGTACTGAACAGTCATCACAGAATTGGCTACCTTTGAGCACTGCAGGGTGAGGTAAGCGATAGCGGAAACTCTATGTTGTTGCTGCTTCTGCAAATCTACTATCGCAGTCTTCCGTTCTTGTTGATCTTTCTGCCTAAATCTCCGGTTAGTCACTGGGGTCGGTTAAATTGGCGCTTCATTGGATGCAACAACCGTTCATTAAATAGATCCCATTCTTTAATGACACCCCCGGAGACGCGAAGACGCCAGTCTAGTTGTGATGCCTCAGCTTCCATTTGGCAGAAGTTTCCTTGCCATATATTTGGCCTCGGTTAGTTTATTATATACGCTACAGAATATAGACTGCAATCTCATGGAAGTACAGCATGGACATTTCAAATAAGGGGAGGTAAGCAGTATACCTCGTCAGGATATTTGATGAAGACGAGAGCTAACAACTAATCTGTTGTCCTCCACGCGCTCTATTTGGAACGAGGACATGTTCTTGTCTGCTAAAGGCAACATTTCAAGTGTTAAGAACAAAATCAGGCGACTGTCGATCTCCTTTATGTACTCCAGTAATCCATGCCACAGATGACTCGAAATTATTATACAAGTACCTCAAGCAGAGTACATGAAACAAGGATCCGATACCCCTGCTGAGGACACCTGAGGGTACAAATCATTCTGAAAGCTGAACGAACGCTTATCATCTTTCAGAAATTTTCAATTCGGTTTTCACTAAGGCGATGGGATACCGCTACCCTGCGGGCGGCTCTGGAGACGCTACAATAGTTGAGACTGTTCAATTAATGGAGGCTATTAGTTTAAACGACTGGTTATTTCTAAATAATCAAAATCCCCGGATCCCGGTTGGTTACCGGAGAAGATGTTGAATAAGCTCGCGAATAAGTATTCTCTACGCTTTCCAAATATACTTCGAGATTGAAGATCTACCAGCCGATTGGAAATTTCACTTGGATTACACCGCTGCATAAGGGTGGAAGCCCGGTCTCCACCTTAATTCAATCTTCTGCAAAACGACGGGGAAAACAATTAATAAACTTCTCATGCAGTTCCTAGAAAGAAAATATCTGCCTTCCGATTTTCAGCATGGCGTCAGTAGATGTAGGTCCCATGTGACATATTTGCACTTGTGGTTAAAACGGGGACTGGGGCAGTAGAATGAGAGAATACGGTGCATGCATTCTATTTGGACTTCAAAAACGCGTTCAATACTGTGCTCCACCATCACCTTCTTCGCAAACTCAGTCGAATAGAGGCAGGAAGCAGGCTTCTGATGCGGATAAAAAATTCCTACCCGGCCGCTCTCAAACTGTCCATGCCGGCGACAAGCAGTCAACAGAGTTTGCAGTTGAAAGTGGTGTTCCCCAAGGCACAGTTCTCTGCCCTGCTCTTTACACCAACGAGTGTGTACACGGGGGTGTCAGCGAATGGGATTTCTATATCGCCATTCTCACCGATGACGCCGTCTAAACTGCAGCTTACGGAAGGCGTTCACACGGAAACGTTAACCAACTCCAACCCAATTTATTTGATCGACTGAAAAATAAACGTCCCACCAGCACTTGTTAAAACAAATGATTTATTTGGATTCATTACCTTTAAAAATTTATATACGAAGACGTTGAAATATTCAGTGGTCTACGATTTTTCCCCAACATTACTAAAATCAACTCGTTATTAATTAGAGAAGCTGACGAAACCATAGCAAACATTAAAAAATACGTTTCCATGATTATTAAAACCTTCTCCCAACTCCAGTAACGAAAGTAAAGGAAAGGCATCAATTCAGCCTAAACTAGGTCTCAGAACCAACATCACATGGCTCGTTGGAGTCATTTATAATTTGTGGCGCATGCTTGTTTAGTCACTGCGATAATAAATGCGTTTTAGAAAATCGAGCCAATGAAAATGTGAGTTTGGGTTTTTCTAATTCGAAAGGGGTACGTAATAGATCTTAATTCTGATTGGTTGGCAGCTTAATACTATTTTCACGATATTCTTACTGGTTCCCCAGTTTTAACTCAGCCATCAAAGGGAAAATCACCTGGTTGTTTCGCACACACTGAAATACAACCTATTTATGAAAATATCGTCATTGAAATGGCCGAACTTGAAAAAAAGTATGCCTTATTTGTGCCCAAACTGATTGTGCCCAGCTGACAAAGTTGACGAAAGCTTCATTGTCACCAGAGGATCG